CTAACCGTGACAGAAAGCCCTTAAAACCATAAACTTAGTGACATAATGAATCGAAAAGACGAAAAACTTATTAGTACTGCGATGACTGCTAAAATATAGACCATAACGAACGAGACATACGTATTCAGAAATATTGCTGCATCCTTGGTTATTGCTTAGTTAAACTAAAGTTACATCTGTCTACCCCAGCGGTAAATATCTGCGCGAATTCTTGTCCTAATAATTCGTTTGGAACGAAAAGTAACAATGAGAAATGTAATTTATAATTTGTTGTAATTGGCTTTAATTACATTTGCATTCCTGAGTATTTTCTGATTCCTTTAACTGAACTTATTGGTTAATTACGCAAATGAAAAATGGAATTTAACTCGATGGACCACAATTTACCTAAATTAATTAAATAAAGTTATGAGTTTAAAAAAGTTTGAAATTTTAATAAAGTTGGGAAACAACTAGAACGATTAATCTATATTTTATACATATATATATAAAATTTCCACCAGAAGATTTCCACTGATAATTGACTCATCGCTATATTTCTGGAACCAAAAGGCGATTTGAAATTCGGTAGGAATATTCCTTTCGCCGAGTAGAAGTCAGTTTTGGATTATACGAAATTCTACAAAACAACTAGTATAACATAACCAATCAGCTAGTATACATAAATATCAAAATTTTCATTTAGTATTCATAAACATTAAGAAGGTAACTTATCCCATTTTATTTATTAGGTACATTAATTATTGATTAAATATAAAGCCAGAATTGCATGCAAATCGTTATTTAAACAATTTTGCCTTTCAATTACATTGTAGACTCCAAAGCTGTAAGCGTAGCCCGGTGGCATGAATTAATCTCTAGAATCTCCACAGACCTAATGATTTTATTCCAACATCTACATCACCATTTACCGTAGTGAATAATAATCACTAATATTATAATAAAAAAAAGTATCAGCCTATACATGTTCCTCAGCTGGACAAAGGCCTCCTCTGTACAGAGGGTATCAGGGCATAGTCCACCACGCGGCCCCACTGCGGATTGGCGGACTTCACATATCGTCGAAATATTTTTTGTGATTATTTCGAAAATATGCACGTTTCCTCACGATGTTTTCCTTCACCGCTCCGCACGGGGATCGAACTTAGGTTGCTCGAGTATATTAAATTAAAGGCGAGCGCCCAGACACTGAGCTATCACGGCTCAATATTATAATGACATATTAAATTATTTAACTACTAATACTATATATAATAATATTTAATTACTAACATATTAAATTATTTAAATACTTATTAAATTATTTAACTAAACCTAACCTAACCTAACCTAACTGTAATTTATTTCGTCTTATGCGCATGCCGCGCGCCGCCACTGCAGTAATCTTGGTCGCTATGGCAACGGAACCAAGCTTGCCCGCAGCGCCTTGGTGGCGTCTTATCGCAATTACTTCCGCGTCTTACAGTTGGCGTTGGTTCCCAGCAGTGCCGCTAGAGGGCAGTAGCCTTTTCTATTCCGCTATTACCAAAGACAATAAAAAAATATGTATCTGACCTCAGATTACAGAAAGTTCTTTCTATATTCAGTATGTAAGCTTAACTTTAACGCGCTTGAAAATAAAAAATAAAATGTCTTTTTTCATAATGTTAATAGCTAGTCTTTTTACTTTATAAATATTTAGCCTATTCCTATGTCCATGTTATGTGTATGTGTTAGCACAAGTCTTTTTTTATTCTTTAACTAACTTTTAAATTCATGGTAGAAAAATTTTTTAAAAGTTTCACGTGAGAAAGCTCACGATATAATCATTTCATGTGCACATAATATATAATTATATAAATGTATAGAAGTTGACATGGTTATTGATAATTAAATACTTAGTCAGAAACTATAATCCATTCCTCTTATTTATTCTGAGCCATGATAGGTCATGGTCCGGGCGCTCGCTTCTTATTCTATATACTCGATTGACCCGAGTTCGAACCTCGGTGCCGGCAACAAAGAAATTGTAAATTTTAAGTTCTGACTTATAAATCTATGAGGAATCATGCATGTTTTCGAAATAATAACAAAAGAAAATATTTCGTAGATATGTGAAGTCCGCCAGTCCGCAGTGGGGAAATATGAAATCAATTTTTATCAGGCAATTGTCATCACAAATTACTTCATTGAACAAAAGTCTGAAGAGTGAATTAATCGTAGTGGGTCAAAAGAGAACCAACGCTCTGATTGCCATAATAAATCGCAAATTTAGAATTATAGTGACCTATTTAAAAATATCAATTTTTGGGAAACGTAAAATAAGGATTTGTGGAACTTATGAACAAACGCGCTAATTGGGGGGAAGTGAAAGAGACAGAAGTATACGTTATGTAGCGTTCTAAAATCGGCCCATGTTTTAATAGGATTCGAAAAAGGTGGTCGTTTTATGTCGTTTCCTGACATAAAGTCAAAGTCATGATTTTCATAATTAGGTCCCTTTAATTCTAAAGGTGCGAAATGTTGCGGTTGGTTTTAATCATTCGGTGTCAAGTGAAATACTTCTTTACATGCCACCTTATCTTGATATATTGTGACTTAGATGAGTTATATTTTAGAATTCACTTAGTACGAAAGACGTAGCACGGCAGTAGTTTACTATGTCTACCCAACAAGCATTAAAAGACCCAAGAACCCATGTCATCGCGCAAGATCAAAATACAAGGGCAATAAAGCACTCATCCTGTCTTTGAACATTTTCACAATTGAAGGCATCATTTCAGCCAATTTACTCTGCTAATCATCAGATCAGGCCTTGAAAAGCCAATCCCGCAGACCGCCAAGAAAATTCTGCCATATGCGAGCTATTCTGATTTATAATAAAAACCATGTGGGCGAAGTTGCGGTTAACAGCTAGTATAGCTTATATCTTGAATTTTTTACATCTAATGACGTAACAAAACTTGCAAATTTTCTTTACTTTCATTCATTAGCTGCTTTATCTTGGTCTGCTTCAGTTTGTTAATGTAGTTTTTATTTTAATATAATGTACTCAAAAAACTGTACCGAAACTGGAGAAAATCCCATAAAAACTTTCATAATAAAGACGTTATATTGGTTTTTACAGAGCTATCAAATTTTGGCGGGTAGGTTATAGGATTAACGATCTGGACTGTTTGTCATTGTGTCAACGTGGCCGAGAGCTAAACCAAGACTATGAAGCCACTCTTAATGCACTGGTCTTAATGTAATGGTACCGAAAGAAATTCATTACTTTTTTAAATTTTATACTGGTCAACTATAGTCTTTTGTCTCCTTTTGACTTCTTATTTTCTCTATTTATTTGTCGATAACAGAATATACTATATATTCTATAGACAGAATATACTATATAGATAAAGTAACCGGAAGAGAAAACTAATTACATCTACTGATTGCTCTTATACCTCATTTATTTTTTAAATAAATAAATGAGGTATAAGAGCAATCAGTAGATGTAATAATAAAAGCTTGGATAGTTAATCGATTATAAAGCGATCGGATACCCCGGGGAAATACCGCCGTTATGCGGCATACTCACTCAACACCCCTTCAACCACCCTTTCAGCCCGCCACAATCGCGGGAAATTAATGAAAAATTGTCTTCGCCTCTCCAAAGTGGATTATTTAAAATCCACTGTAGAAAATGCGAACTCGTCGAGATGATTTATAATTATTTCATCCATACAGTTAGAGATCTGATGATAATTTACATAGTTCTTAGAATCGTTTCCGGGACCGCCATCAAAAAGTGACTTAGTCGTTAGACTTTAGTCGGTAGTAGTTACAAGTCGAGTGGAATAATTTTATTATATAAGGAGTAAAACAAAGGTAACCCACATATCTCAGAAGATGAGTAAGCTGATGTGGCAATGGGCGGGAATTATCCCTCGTAGAAACGGTAACCGAGAGGAAAGCAAGGTTCTTGAGAGGTATAGGCTATCGAAGTGTAGGACGACACCCACTAGATGAAATAACGACATGTGCAAATGTGCGGGAAATCGATGGATGCAGGTGGCTCAGGATCGTGCTTCGTGGCAGTCTGTGGGGGAGGCCTATGTTCAGCAGTGGACGAAAACACGATGAAATGATGATGATGTCCTAAATTATGAAAACTTTCAAAGTCAGAGGGCTTTCAATACTTGTATTTTGATCTTCTGTAAATAAAGGCTGTTGCATCTTTTAACGCTTATCGAGTTGACACGGAATTCTGCTTGCTGTGTTACATCTTTCGTACTAAGTAAATTCTAAAATATAAATAATTTATATCACATCTTCGTAGATGTATTACTGATATAGATGAGTCACATTAATAAGGGCCAATACACTATACAAATGTGGCTTACTTTCTTACTTAAACGTAACTGTATTTGACCTTTGCTTTTAACACCAATTGTCACTTGACGTACTAAATTGGATACTATAATAAATTAGGTACTAAGATTTGGAAACACGTAATTTAATTGATATGAACACACCTAAAGTATACGACCCTCTTCTTGACTATGATAACATTTATCTTAATAGTCAGTTAATATTTTAATGCCCACTGGTCGAGTGGCTCGCTGTCATCGCCATCCATAGATGCTCACTAAATCAAAGAATTTAACTGTACATATTTTATGGGCACTTCGTATTTAATTTAATTTAAGTATTTAATTTCTTCTTTTTCAATAAATATTTTTACGACACATTTTGCACCACGTTCTCTAGTCCCAAACTAAGCAACGCTTGTACTATGGGTGCTGATTAACTGATCAACATACTTAAACATATTTTTCTTTTGTAAATAAATACATATCATATATGAATAAACACCCAAACACTGGAAAACCACAATGTCATCACACAATATTTTTCCAGTAGTGGGGATCGAACCCACACCCTCTGACGCAGGTACACTACCCACTACGCCATTCGGGTAGTCAAAGACAGTATTTATATCATATCCATAACTACAAATCAGTGAACGCTAATAAAACATGGAAGCCGCACCTCCATACAAGACAGTTATCACGCGCCGGCAAACAAAAATCAACTTATTTGTAAGCACAACTAAGTCTACATTCCTAAACAGCCTCGCGGTACGGTTTACAAGCCCCGCGCCTTGACGGTAATGTTTTTCGTTATGACATTTTGAAGCGACAATAATGTTTATATGTTTATTTGCGTTCACTGCTACAAATATAATTTTGCGTATTCCTTTTTTAAATATAGCTAATGGAAGGAACGCGTTACGTTTACGGTGACGATGAAGCAAGCTCCACCATTTTTGTTCACACCACGCGCATAAAGAAGTTTTCACTCCAAAATACTGGCTTTCCGCGGCAGTGGCCTAATGTTGCCGCAATAACACTCTAAATTAGAACGGCACGTCATTAGCGAGTAACGACTCGCAGGGTTCGAAGTTGGCCCGTAAATTCGGATCGAGCGCGTGCGGAACGAGTAACGTGGCGCGTTGGAACTTTTATAAACGTCACCCCCCATCCCCCAAACGGGCGAAACTCGAAGTTTTTTACGCGGCTAATAAATCTCGATGGCGGGAAATGAGTGCGGCGGGGGTCCCCCCACCGCCTTCCCCAACGGACCCGTCGGAGTGGAAGCTGCCTGTCCCTCAAAGCCTCGGGGTCTGCGATATGGCTTCGCTCTAAATAAACCTGTATCGCTGTTTATGTTTATCACGGGCTGACACTTTATTGTCTAGCCGGAAAGGGTTGGTGTCAACGTAGACTTTCGCACTGGAGGTAACAGTTTAACCGATGCGAAGTACATTCTGGCATGACGTTTAAACGTCTTTGTCACTAAACGTCAAAAATGAGATTTGCCATTCAGTCGTTATGTTTTTTTTTTTTTTTTTAACTTTTTCTAGCTAAGAACCCCGTCATTTATGAACTGATTTTATATTTTTGAATATTGTAGTAAGTCAAATTTCGGTAAGTTCAAAGAGGAATCAGTCACCATTATCGAAAACAAAACGTCAAATAGTTAGGTGTCCCTTAGTTAGATGATATAAATGAAATGTAATTTATGAACTAGTTTTTGGGAGCTTTTTATCTAAAGATCCCATACTTAGGGTTACATTGGTGAAAACGGGCGTGAGTTTTGGGATTAAATAGTTGCTCAGGAATAATTTATCTTTGCCTTCGACACACACGCACTTACAATAATTGGGAATCGGAATTACAATAATGGGGCAGAACAATTTATTCAACCCTTTTTATTCACCCATTACGAACGATGAAGCCAAACTTTTTTGTTCCAAGTCGAAAAACGTTAATAATAAATTGATCCGTTAGGAATGTAATGGAGTTAAACTGTGTGATTCGTAAACTCTAATCTATAGAATCTAATAGGAAGTTAATCTTAAACGCAATTTCAGGTATAAAGGACCTAACTCACGAAAGTTATACGACAGGCAGCTTTCTGTACACTTCAAACTGTTAATAAACTATGCCACATTATAGTACAGTAAGTAAATACACACGAGTTCGCTCCTCAACGAACAGAGAAGTTCTGTGAAGTTAGATCCTATGATGAGTCATAAGTAAGTAATAAGTTAAGACTTACTCTATTTAAACTGGTGTTATTGCTTTCAGTCCGTAGGCAATTAATCTTCATCGAATACAACTTTTAACTATACGACGACCCGAATGGCGTAGTGGGTAGTGTAGCTGCCTTCTGCGCCAGAGGCTGAGGGTTCGATACCCATTACTGGAAAAATCTTGTGTGATGAACATAGTGTTTTTCTAGTGTTTTGGTGTTTAAATATGTATTTACTAACAAAAGAAAAGTATATTTACCAGTTATCTAGTACCCATAATACAAGCATATTTAGTTTAAGACTAAAGAACGTTGTGTAATAATGTGTCCTAAAAATATTTTTAAAAAAACCAGAGATCGTAGTGATGAGAAAACGGTGTTTCCCTAACCAACACTAATACAAATGAAAGCAGACTTCGGCCAGTCTTTTATTCTTTCTTCTTTTTTTTTATTCTGTCACTACATTACAGCCCAGCTGACTGTTGCCGTCGAGTGGGCCACGGATAACGCGATGCCGGCAGTATTAAAAATCGGTTTATAAGCTGAGGTTGGGAGTGACGTTTATGGTGGGGAACATCTCACCAGAAGTCCGCAATGTACTCGATCACAAATAGGAATGTTATAAATAAAGAATAAAAAAGAAGTAATAAACACGCTTTATGATGGAATTAATGGGGTATTTATTACTGAAAAAAACTAACTGCCTTAAAGAATATCACATTCTAAAATACTATCATTGTCATTAACATGTTATCCACCTTTCACGAAACATGTCACATAGTGATTGCACACAACTGGGATTCGAACCTGCAATTAGATCGTTGCTATGTTCCAACCATTACGTCATCTCGACTAGCTCGCTGCCATAGGAATAAAAGTAGTAATGTAATAGCCTATAAATGTCCCACTATTGGCAAAGGCCTCCTCTGTACATACGGTATGAGGGGCATAGTCCACATATCATCAAAATATTTTTTTTGTTATTATTTTTAAAATATTTAGGTTTCCTCGCGATGTTTTCCTTCACCGCTGAGCACGTGATAACTCGGCACTTAAAATTAACAATTGCCGGTCCTGGGGATCGAACTCAGGTTGCTCAAGTACATTAAAGGCGAGCTCCCGGACACTGAGCTATCACGGCTCTCATACCATTTGTTACTAACCACGAATTCACATCCCTATCCCGTATCAACCTTCAACGTAGCAACTGTACTTATGCGTTAAGTTGTACACATCTACGTCTAACCGGGTTACGGTTTATGCTAATTCGGAGTACCGCGGTGGAACGAACAAACAGTTAATCGTGTTCCCAAAACCGCCCTTGTAAGAAGATTAGGGGCTGAAGGCTTCTCGGGGAATCGTTGCGATGTGCCTATTTATCGTGCGGAAAGTGCTAACTTAAATAAGTGCTCGATACACTTAAACTTACTTGATAATAACATTGAGTACTTAATGTAAATAGATATAACAATTTCTGTTAAAAATCTATGTTAATTACAAGCGTAGTCGTTGCACTCGAGGCAAACAGCTTTCTGGAACTTTAAATTATTCTGTTTGATTCTATATTCATTTACGCGTAACAAATGTGATAAGTTAAAAAAAACCAATTAATAATTTTAATTAATTACTATCTAAATTAAACAAAACATTGAAAAAAATAGAGAATTATTTCATGCTCAATCAAAAAAATGTTGTGTGAATTGATGTTCAGATCTAAATAAAATGTTCCAAATCGCAGTCAATTGACCAATGACTTAATCCATTTTTCGGAGTTATAAACTGCATCTGCAAAAGTTGCTTTGGAGATTTCCATAAAATAAGTTCAGTAAAACATTTAGGATTAAGTTAAGACACACAAGAATGTTTAGGTATTAAATTTCTTCGTAATAACAATTACTTATAGTACGTATCAATATTGTTATAAACGAGAAGAATTCAAAATTATATATAAATTACATTTTATCTCATCAACAAATAATCTAATTTCAACATCGCGCGCAATTTAAACATTGACACTGTCAAATGAGAGGGCTTGAGTATCTTATATTCTAACGCCATCTATCGGTACCCGTCCGAAGTCGCCACTTGCGCGGCCCAGGAAATAGTTCCTTAAAACTCCGTTGCAAGACGAAGACGGACGTCTTATCCTCTGCAAAGATCGATCGATGCATTTAATATACGATATGCGTAATGCAGTAGCTGTATATTAGCTGACATTCTCAAATCATGCAAGTCATTCAAGTTGAGGAGCTAGTTAAAAACAGAGTTATTGAGTTGTTAGCGCGACATAATTAATGCATGGTATGTATTATACGTCTAATCCGGGTTACGTCTCGAACTTAAAAACAAAATTAATCTCGATAAAATGTCTCAAACAGTTTTTTTTTTTTATTTAAAAAATCCATTTAAGAATCGAAATATAGTTTGAATTTATATCGTCTTAATCGGCACGAAATAACTGTATTTTTTTATAAAGCAATAAGCCCTCTCCACTTTTGACACTAACTGCGTAAAGTGATATAACTGATACTACTGTACTTTTACGATATTAATTGTCTATCGCAGAGTTATTGTCTTAGGCAAGGTTAAAAGTGTACATACCTGAATTACTTTAATAATGTTTGTGGTATGCCACTGCGTTAATTTTAAAAGTAATCCAAACTACGAGTTACTTCCCTTCACTTTCTTAAAATAACTTTTTTTTTATGTGATAAGTTGCCAAACGAGCAGACGGTTCACCTGATGTTAAGTGAATACCGCCGCCCATGGACATCGTTCTTCTATGACGTCGTGGTACTTACCCGGACGAGCCTGCCCATTCGTGCAACAGCCGAGGCTGCTGCGTGGCCCTACCACCGTAAGACAAGTAACAGTTAATAATTAAAACAAAAGTTTACAGTTTTGCAGAAAGCAGTAAATAAAGCATAAGGCAATTCTCTCTTATGGTTTTACGCGTTTTAACTTCTAAATATAAGTTACTTTTTGTATAATAAAACAACATCTCGTAATGTTTTCGTAAACAACAGCCACTTGGCAGTCTTTTGGAATACACACCGGTTATGAATTAAGATCTATCCGCTCTCAAATATCCAACCGTTCTATATTACATTTGCAGAGATAATAATGTTGTGAAGTTACTAGCGATTTATTATCATCCAGATATTTTAGCTAGGAATTAACACGTTTTTTCATTTACAAATATTTTAAGAGCGTAATATACAGATAAAAAAATAAATGTTAACTTAGACATTAAATCACCACCATATCGAACACTTTACAGCAAGCGAAGAAGTGGTTCACTTAATGTGAAGTGTTAAGTGGGACATTAAAAAATTAACTCAAAAAAACTAACGCGTGTCACACAGATATATTAACTTTCAAATTTACAATGCACATCTCATTTTAAACAACTATAGTGTTCGAGTAAATACAGGAAATCGTTATTTACATAACCTTATATAAGAGTTCTAACGTTTATACCTTGATCCTAATATTTTAACTATTGCTGAACTTCAATATTAACATCTATTATAACGATAAGCAGAACTAGTGGTTATATCACCGTCCGGGAACGAGGCCGAAATCCAAGTGACCGCTGCTCTATGCGACCATGTGTCCCTTAGCTCGAGTAGATAACGTCATATCCGGTAAACAGTGTTGCCAGCGCCAACACTTATAAAACTTAAACAGTAATTTTCCACAATCGAAGCCTCCTTCATTATCAGTTGCCCTCCACACCGCTTTCAAGTGGTTCCACCTCTGTTGGGACTTCCTACCCAACCCTTCCACACTCTACAGCGTACAATCTCGTAGTATATTGAGATCGACAATACGGAAGGACTATTAAAAAGCCTTTCTATTTTTCCGACAGACCGACAACGGAGTTGAAACTCGATTTTACGTAGTCCGAATGACGATGGTCGTCATCTCATTTGATGTATGACTAGACCATATAGTGGTCGAACTGGGCGAACTATAACATCCATAAAAACTTGAAAACACTAAGGCAGCGTCGACATATTAAACAAAATGGCATTTCACATCACGTCTAAACTGTAGCGAATCAATGTGCTATCTAGAAATCTACTCAACACCTCACTTTGTTAGT